AGTTTTTTTTTTTAATTTTCAGTTCAACAGGCCACAGTTACAATTAAAAACTTTTTTTTCTTAAGCTGGGAATATACCTCAGTGAGTGATAGGGCTTATGCTTATTATACACAAGTCCCTGAGTTCTATTCCCAGCACATATACCACAAAAATCCTCTTTCATTTCCTTCTAAGTAATCCAGGGTTGGAAGGGCAGTGTGTTATGCTGAAACAAAAGTGGCCATAATTTGACAATTGTGACAGCTGGATGATGGCAACATGGGGTTAGCTACACTACTGTCTATTTTCAAAAATATTCCATAATAAAAACTAAAATTTTTTACTTGCTTGATTACCAAATAAAAACTTTTTTTCCAGCATATGAATTCTTGCAACCTCTCTTGAGGGAAGTTTAACCATAAGAAATCAAACTTCTTAAGAATGTTGAAGTCTTTAGCTGTATTCTGTACTTCTGGTTGTACATCATAAATTACAAGGCAACTCTGCAGAGCTGTGTCTTCAGAAATGCTGGTAGCGGGGCTCAGTGGTAGAGTACCTGCCTAGCACTTGTGAGGCACTAGGTTTGATCCTCAGCACCACATAAAAAGAAATAAATAAAATAAAGGTTAAAAAATTTATTTCTAAATGTTGGTGGCAGTGCTGTTTGTAATGGGTAGGCTGTATACCTAAATATCCCAACAAGAGGACTGGCTAAGCAGGTGATGCTGTGGTTGCAAATGAGACACTGTGTAGCCAACAGATTATGATACTGAGAAATGTTTGTGATAATAAGTGAAAAAGCAGGATACAAAACAAAAAGGAAAATGACCAATCTTACTTTTTTTTGAAAAGTAAGGTTAGAAAAATTATCTTGAAAGATACACTAAAATGTTGTAATGATAATGAGCCCCTGTCTCAAAACAAAAAGCATGGGGATATGATTCGGTGGTAGAGGGCCTCTGGGTTTAATCCTTAGTACCACAAAATAAGTAAATAAAAGTAAAAGTTATAATAAAACTAAAAACGTAATGAAGATTATTTTTGACAGTTATTTGTTATTTTCTTTTTATGTAGTGTTTTCATAGGGAAGAAAAATTTTTTTTAATTTGTCCTTCTCCCAAGATAGTCTCTTTCCTCTTTGTTGACTATTTTTTTTTTTTCTGCCTTCTCTTAGACACTATCTCCAGTCTCTGATAATATGGGATTTTCTGCTCAGACTTAAAGGCTGGGGAACTGAAAAGCTGACAGGAAGTCTTGAATCTTTGGGTAGGACTATTGACCATGGTCTTTATTGTAGGGCAGTCTAGCTACAACCGTCCTTTGGGGTGTCCCAAGATTCTCTTCAGAGAAAAATTCCTATACTTACAATTCCAGAGAGTCGTGGTGCCTCTGTTTCCTTGGCAGCTCTTGGATCTATGTCTAATTCACCTGGAAATATATTTTTTCTTTTTCAATGATATGAATATATTACAGGCATTTCACAAGAGTTTCTGTTGTTGCTAAGTGTCATGAAGATATTCCTGTAGTGTTTATCTAAAAATTAGGATGGACAATGAGCATCAAAATAGCATGCTAAATTATGTGTTTTCTTTTTAAGACAGAGTGTCAGTAGCTTTTATCAGATTCTCAGTCCCATAATTGACCCAAAAGAGGTAAACAAAACCACAAAATAAACAAAAAACATTGCCAAGAGAAATGGTCCTTATCCTGGGATATGCAGCAGAATTATTCAGATTTTTTGAACATACACATTCCTAAACCGTACCCTCTATGCCAGAAAGAGTAAGTTCCAGGAACATTATTTAAACAAAGTGTTTCTTGTGCTGACCTCTAGGTGGTCAGATTGGCCCAGAACAGCTTGATTTTGCTGCTGGAAAAATGGCATCCACTTGTATATACCAGACACATATGAAATGGATAGTCGTCCTTCAGAAACTTTTGTCCTGAATAATTAAGAATTCCATTTAATATAAATCATCTACTTACTATCTTATTCTCATTTGGTTTGAACAGAAGGTATACCATTCTGTTATTTTTACCCCCTCTGCTGAGGATCAAACTCAGGGCCTCATGCATGCTAGGCAAGAATTGTATCACTGAGCCATACCCCCAACCTCCATAATGATTCTCAAACTTCAGAGTATATCAGAATCTCCTGAAATGCTTGTAAAATGCGGATTTTGGGAGTTTCACTCCTAGAATTTTGATTCCTTAAATCTGGAGAAGGAGACTACATTTTTAACAGGTATCCTCAGTTCTCATCTAGGTGATCAGTGGATTATATAAAATATCTGAACCTAAGTTTGTTGTCCATAATACCATGAAGGTTTTGGTTTTTTTGTAAGAAAGAGAGGGAGAGAAGGGTTTGGGAAGATTGTCCCGTTTTTAAATATAATTAGCTTCTAAAAGTCTGTTAATAAAGATAAGCAGTGCAACATGTATATTCACAGGTATTCAGGATGACCATACTCAGTACCCTGGAACTCTTTGCCCAAATGCCTGCTTTCAGGGCCTATATAGGTCTCCTCCCTTACCAAAACCAGTGTGTGCACATACCTGAGTCCACCGGATAGCTTCAGTTTTACCAGATAGTCCCTTATTTTCATCTTTTCTTTATTTCACCAAAAAATATCTCTGCCTTTGGTATATTATCAGTTCTCAAATAAAGAGGCATCTCCTTTAGTGTTAAGAAAATTATCCCTCAACTTATAGTTAACTTTCTGTAATTACATCTGGCAAGAGACTGCCTAGTTTTTTGTTTTTAATTTTTTTACAATTGTACAGCATATGGCATGCCTTTATTTTATCTATCTATTTATCTATCTATCTATCTATTTTTATGTGGTGCTAAGGATCAAACCCCAAGTGCCTCACACGTGCTAGGCAAGCGCTCTGCCACTAAGCTACAGTCCCAGCCCTGAGACTGACTAGTTTTAATTCCGATAAATTTTGTTAGAACAAAGGAAAGCCACAGCTTTCCAAACAACTGGGAAGTTGGGGTTTCTCTGCCATACTCCTTTATAACAGCCAGACAGAAGGAAGGCATGTGTTCCATAATATTTCTTCAGAAGTAAACACTTCTGAAGAAGTGATGGAGGGGGGAAAGAGAAAGGAAGAGATTAACTGACTTTAATTTAACATTTGGAGCTATAAATCATGTGTTGCAATATGGTGAATATAGGATGTTGCATCAGACCTGGCAGTTGTAATGATGCCATTGGTATCACAACCTTGAGAGAGGTCTTTGTGGTGCTCTGTGCCATTTTTCTAAAAATTCAACTCCGAATTTAGATCTTTTCTGTTTTGCCAAGGAGAAAAGAGTGGTATTTCAATTTCATTGTACCTCACTATAAGTTTGTTCTCTTGGTTCAGGGCAGGAGAATTTCTTTATGGCTGAGGGTCTGCCTGGGTCACATGTCATTACTGAGCCCTAGCATCTCTTGTGTCCTGTTGTCACATGCAAGCAGAGAAATGCTGAGGTTGCTTCACTTCTTCCTGGAAGTCTGTCAGGAAAGCTGGAAGGTGTTATAGCAAGGCTGTAATGTCTTTACTCTCAGAACCGTTAGTTTTGAAAGTATATGTAATATTTCCTGAATATTTCATATTGCCTTTATCTTAAGATTTGAAAGATAGTGACTAGGATTTTGTCCCTGAGAAACAAGAATGAGGGTCAATAATAATCATAAAGGTAAGACACATGGAGTATATTTTAGCAAGATCTTTAATAGTAGTCAAGATATTTGGTAGCTTTTTTTTTAAATTCTGCTTTGTTGTGGGAGAAAGTTCATGGTGTATAGGAGCAATAAAACAAGTGAAAACTATCAAAATTAAACTTTATATTTAGAACATAAACTGTTGAGGACAGAGCTGGTCTCTTAATTATATGTTAGTGGAAATAGTAGTATCCATGGTGGTAAGTTTGGGGGTTTGAGGAATTTAGGTAAAGACATGGCAGATGATGAAAAGAAACCATCTTTAATCCTGATAAAATTGCTTTTGGAGAATGTGGTTTAGATTTAGCTTTGTTCCAATACTGAACTCTAGGATTATCAGACTTGCCCACCCAGTACTCTGACCTCCTCAATGAGGGTGTGTCCTGTTAAACTCCAGGGATAGAGGAACAGAGTCTGGTCTCCAAAGAAAGAAAAAGGGAAAAAAGAGCTGTGTGATATGTACCATTCCTCTCCCTGCTCCCTGGAGAGACGAGTTCCTCCCAAGGGAGGAGGGAGGAGAGAAAGCAGAAATGTTATCCATAACTGGCATTCACGCCATGCAGCAGGAAACACTGAATGGGAAGCAGTTTTCCTGCCCTAACTGTGAGTGATAGTGTTGTGGTCTTTGGGGTATTGTAACAGGATGGAGACTCTTAGCAAATTTTAATGATTTCTAAATAATTTTCATCATTTACAGAATTATGGAGACATACTCTCAAGACAGAGTATGTGATATATAATAAGATCTTGGTCTTTAAGTTCATATTTTCTAGAAATACAGTGAAAATATTTATAGGTGAATTGATAGGCTGTCTGGGACTTATCTCAGAATAATCTGGTCTAATGAAATCAGACTGTTCATGATGTGAAGGTTGTTGAAGTTAGGTAATAGGTACTTGGGAGTTAATTGTATTATCTCTAATATAGTGAAGGGATAGTTTGAATCTAAACTCTGCTATTAGGTATCTGACATTAGCAAGCTACTCTAATTCTCCATTTCCTAATTCGTAGAATTGGGATAATAAAATCTATCACATAGGATTGTTGTGGTGCTTCAATTAAAGTAAGTTATGTGTCAATTACATAACACATAGAAGGCACTCAAAAAATGGCAATGTGCGGGGCTGGAGTGTAGTTCAGTGTTAGAGCACTCCCCAGCACTGGAAAAAAAAACTGGTAATAATTATTATGTCTATAAATAGAAAAAGATCAAGATATTTTGTTTGTTAAAAATGAAACATTTATTTTATTGACTTATGTGTGTGTTTCCTCCATTTGAGTAAATTAATTTGGGTTTTGTTTTAACAGCTCAGGTGCCTAAAAGGCCAGAGGGGCTTCTCAGGCCAACCTCCTTTTGATGGAATTCACATTGTCAACCATTTAATAGGAGATGATGAATCATTCCTTTCCTCAGATGAAGATTTTATAGATAACTCCTTACAGGAAAGTGGCATTGGTTTTCCCTTGCACAGAAAATCAGGCCCAATGTCTTTGGACCCCACTGTGGCAGATGGTAGTGAAAGCGAAACAGAAGACAGTGTGCTGGAGACCAGGGAGAGTCACCGAAGGATCCAAGAGGAGCGACCCCCACGAAGAGAGTCACACTCAACCACTGTCTGACCGTCACTGTGACCCAGACTACAGATTTCTTCAAGGGATCCAGTTGTCCTATGATTAGGGATTTTTTGGATTTATCTGTTTCATATGTATATATATATATATATATATATATATATATATATATATATATATACACACATATATATATTTTACAATCCTATCTGCCTTTTTTTATCTTTGCCAAATCTTCACCACTGATTTTCCATTACCATAAAGTTGACTGGAATATGGTTAATGGGTAAAATAAGGTTCTAACAGTATTAATGAACATTAATGTTTCTTGTTTAGAAAATGTAACTATCTAAATGTGGGAACCATTTTGAAGTTCAGAACTATGGAAAATTGAATTTTCTTCAGATAAAACTGTTCTTGTGCAATACTTTATGCTCAGTGAACAAATTGTATATTTGTTTATCAATTTGTTTTCAAGGCTATCTGCAGACATTTGACCAAGACATATATCTGATTGATATTGTATTTTTGTGTTTTGGGAATTTTTTTTTTTTTTTGCCACTAAAATTACTATTTTATTAGTGAGCCACTGAGGTTCTTAAACACAAAGCCTTTTTTCCTATATAATTTTATAAACAAATTGTTAACTATTTTCAGAGTTTAAAGTTTTGTTTTAATTTCTAACTTTTATGTGCATATGGAGGCTTCCATGTGTCAGTTATTGGTAAAAGTAGTAAGTTAACTATAAATATATTGTTAATTTGTACATATTTATGAATCTGTATATCCAACATCAAATATTATTTTACATGAGGAATATCATATTGCAGAATGACTTCTTTCAGCATTCTCACAGAACTTCTGTACATAGTAGGTCAAAAGAAAATTTAAAAAGAAAACCAGACACTAATATTTTAATAGTTTTAGTATTTTGCTTAGCATTCAACACTAGCATATTCATAACTGATGCCTGTTCAGAAACACTATTGATGAAATCTTTTACTTCATGTATATTAACTAATAAATTTTTCATGATTAAAGAGGTTATAGCACATATTACTTATGCTGATATTCTACTTAATATAATTTAAGCAGTGGACTAAGGTCCAAGTTGCAAAGCAATTATACTGCAAATAATCTATGAACATTATCTTCAAATTCTCTAGTTTCTAAATAATAGATGAAGCCATACAAATCCTACTAATTCTTCCTTTTCTACCATTTACACTTTTTCCTAGAAAACTGAATGCCTGTCATTGATAAATTAGAAGAACTATCCAAATTACACTTACCTGTGGAAAGACAGAAAGAATGTATTGACTGGATACTTTCCACTCTCATTTTTATTAGCAGCCTATGAAAGGAATAGCCATAGAGGATGAGAGGAAAGTAGAAATCAGTAGTGTGGAAGGACAATTTTGCACAATATGATGGAATGGACTTGAAAAGACAAAAGTAGTTTTTGTCTAAAACCAGAAGTTAAGCCTTATGTTACATTGTGGACTAGGCTTTTCCAGCAAGGATGTATGTAGCTATTTTTTTTGCCTGAGAAATGCAATTGAAACATGCCTTCTGAGTCCATTGAACCAAGTTAAATTCTAATGGTTAGGTAATTTTACCTGTTGTCACAAGCTAATAATTAACAGAGCCAAGATTTTAATCCAGATCTCTCTGACACTAAAGCATTTAAAGTGGTCCAGCTAATAAATTTCTCAATTTTCTGCTTTTCTGACAATATGATTTAAGTGATTTAATAGATTTGTATATTTTTGAATATGCATACCTATAGACATACATGAATATCAGCACTCATAAGCCCTACAGTTATGAGTATAGATACTACTTCTAGAATTGGTATTATTCCTAAAATCCTAAAGCTTTGGGGATTCTTCTTTGGGGTCTATACTGTCATTCCAGAAGGTTATCAATACCCAAGTGAAGTGAGATGAGTCATGGTCATATTATTGCCTTGACCCCCACATCAAGAAATCTGAATAATCTAGACTAAGAGTCAGCAAAGTATAGCTAATTCCAGTCATCTTCCTGTTTTTACTTTAGTTAGGGAAAATTCAAAAGAATAATATTTTATGTCACATAAAAGTAGTATGAAATTCAGATTTCAGTGTACATACGTAAAGTTTGATTGGAACACAGCTATCCTTATCCATTTGCCATATTTTCTTTTCTTTGCAGTACTGGGGATTGAACCAGGGGCACTTTATCACTGAGCTGCGTTCCTGGTAACCCACACATACACACTTTTTTTTTTTTTTTAAGGAGACAGGGTCTTGCTAAGTTGCTGAGGCTGGCCTGGTACTTGCAATTCTTCTGCCTCAGCTGCCAAAGTTCCTGGGATTACAAGCATGAGCCACCATACCCAGCCATTTTTTTTTTTGTGGCTATAATGGCAGAGTTGAAATAGTTATAGTGAAGATCATGGACCCTCATAGCATAGAATATCTACTTTCTGGCCCTTTACAGAAAAAAACTCGATCTGGATACTCCAGAATGTTAGGCTGCTTCTTTAGTTTGGCTTAATAGAAGATCAAACCATATTCTTTTCTGTTGAGGTAATGATTTAGAAACATAAAATTTTCTGGTGGATCTTTTGTTCCACAACTATTCAAATTGAAAAGTATACCAGCTATCTTATATGGTAATCTATGATTCCATAGAAAATTTTTGAAGAATACCTGAAACTTTAGAGGAGAAAGAAAGAAATGAATTCCCGAATCCCAGCAGTATTCTTTGAAATATGTATTATTAATATTTTTAGGATATGCTTCACTGAGAAATGTTACAATTTAATTTTAAAATAGGACATCTTTCTAGAGTCACATTTTGAAAGATATTCTAAAGAATTTCATAAGTACTCTTTGTGGTTAGAATTAGGTGTTAAAAGAATTAGGATAAGTAAACATTATTCTGTTGATGCTCTTCTAATTTGGACCATGAAAACTAGAAACAACATTCTTCTCATTTAAGGCCTTTAATTCAAGCCAGGTGCAGTAGTGTATACCTGGAGTAGTCCCTGGAGGCTGAGGTGGTGGGTCACCTGACAAAATCCAGGAGTCAAAGGCCAGCCTGGGCCATGTAGCAAGACTCTATCTCCAAACCAAAAAACAACAACAAAAAAATCTTTGATTCAAAAACATCTTAGAAGAATTTAAAATCTTCCTGACATTTAGGGTGCAATAGGATACTATGTCTTAATTTGACTCCATTTTATTCAAATTAGTGTTTAGTATGTTCAAGACTTTTGAGATATTGGACCATATTCCCTGACAGATTTTATTTAATCTCTCCTATTTTGTAAATCAAATTACAATGGAAAAACTTGCCTCTTTAGGATAATTACCTTCCTGATATCTTTGGCACTGTGGGTTGATATGCTGAAAGTAGAGGCCATAGGTCATCTGAATAAAGTGGAAATTGCGTTGAATAATGAAACAGACCTGGAGAACAAGAAAAGACATCAATAAACTTTTTAAAAATTAGTGGTAAGCCAGGCATGGTAGCATGCTCCTATGAACTCTTTTTTTTTTTTTTTTAAGAGAGAGAGGGGAGAGAAAGAGAGAGATTTTTTTAAAATATTTATTTTTCAGTTTTCGGTGGACACAACATCTTTATTTTATTTTTATGTGGTGCTGAGGATCGAACCCAGCGCCCCGCACATGCCAGGCGAGCGCGTTACCGCTTGAGCCACATCCCCAGCCCAACCTATGAACTCTTTCTTCTTGGCAAAAGAAGTCAAAGATGTAACTTTACACAATTTCTATTATTTTTTCCTCCTTGATAGTAAACACTCATTATTTGCTAATTGAGACATCAAGTTCCAACTAACTGAAAAAAGCTTTTTCTTAGCTCTGAACATGATGCAGCTTGTTACTCTCCAGATAGTGCCTTTGATTGAAAATAAGATTTAGATCTTTTGAAATATATTATTTCTGACATCATAAGAAATCATTTGGTTCCTCATTTGTCATTTACATAATGTATTGTAATATTCAGATTTAAGGTAAAATAAGTGTATGAATTATGTTTTGGTAAAGCTCTTTCATGATTAGCTTGATTGTTGCATAGTACTAGGCTTTGGAGGTTAACATTTTGTGAAATCAAAGATTTACTTATTAAAACAAAGAGTTTAGCTTGAAAGTTATTGCTGCTCTACATTAACAAAAAACTTACGCTTTTAAAATTAATCCACTTAAATTTAATTTTTTGTACCAAATTAATTAAAATTTCTGGTTGAAAGTAGAGTGGATACTATTTGTAATCCAAGTTTTTACATCACATCCATTGATCTACCTATCCCTTCTTTTCACTCCAAAGAAGAGATGATAGAATAATACATTCAATATACTTAAGAGATGCAAAGTTATAATGTATTTCATTTTACTGTTGGAATTTTTTATAGTAACATTGTATAATAACCTGAAATGTTTACTTGTGCCTTTGCTTTAAACAATTAAAGTTTTCTGTTTTGTAAGAACTTGTTTCCTTAAATTGTTCATCTTTAAAAGGGGAGGGGCAGCAAAACACAGATAATGCTTGTTCTTATAGAAGATTTGCATTTAAAAATAACAATGTTTTCATCTCACATTGTACTATTAAATTAATTAGCACCTAATTCAATAAATACATTCAAATATATGTGATTTGGACATGCATATAGAGTTATTAATAGTAAAAAAAACTTAAACACAATATCATTTAATTCAGAAGCAAAAGATCAATATGCTCTGCTTTATGCTCAGAATGATTTTATGGACTTGATTCATGAAATATGACAGAATAGCTGTAATCCAGGATTTGTCCACCTTGGCAATATTAACATTCGGGGCCAAATAACTTGGTTGCAGGAGGCTATCCCATACATTGTAAGATGTTTTGTAGCATCTCTGGCCTCTAATTCACTAGATACAAAAACCTTGTGAATTGCTACTAGTGATGTAAAATTGTATAGCCACTGTTGAAAATACTTTGGTGGTTCCTCAATAAAGTTAAACAGCATTACCATATGATTAGAAATTCTAGATTAATACTCAGAGACTCAGGTATTTGTACACCAATGTTCATGGGAGCATTATTTACAATAGTCAAAAGGTGAAAACAACTCATGAATCCATTGACAGATGAATGGGTAAATAACATCTATATGTACAGTACAGCGGTTAAAAGGAATGAAATTCTGATACATGATAACAATATGGGTGAACCTTTAAAGAATTATGCTAAGTGAAATAAGGTAGACACATAGTAGGTTCCACTTACTTAGTGCCACTGAATTGTGCGCTTAGAAATTATTAAGTCAGATACAGCAGTGTACACCTGTAGTACCAGCTTCTCAGAAGGGTGAAGCAGGAGGCTCACTTGAACCTAGGAGTTCAAGGCCAGTCTGGACAAAATAGACCTTATATCAGAAAAATGGGAGCTGGTGTTGAAGCCCAGTGGTGGAGCACATGCCTGCCCCATGTGAGTCTCTGGGTTCAATCCTCAGCACCATATAAAAATAAATGAAGGTATTGTGTCCATCTACAACTAAACAAAAGAAATTATTAACCTAGAATAATAAATACTAAGCATATTAAGAACTTAGATTCGACTTACAAACTAAAGATTTTTTAAAAAGAGACTTAGAAGGGAAAAAGAAGTAAAACCTGAAGAGTTATAAATTTCACAATGCCTATGAAATAAAAAAACTGCTGAGGCATAGAGTTCTGGTACTCAGTTTTTGTGTGGACTAAACCTGGACAAATCTCAGAATGTCATGGCTTTCATGCTGTTCTTTGGGTGACACCCTGCCAGGTCCTTGCCCTTCCTGACACCAGCGGCCATATCCCACAAGGCTGGCTCCCTCTCTCCTTTGGTTCTCTGATAAAAAGTATCAGCAGAGAGGCCCCCTCCCTGCTTGCCTTTCCTCAGTACCAATTACTGTCTGACCTCCTTTGCAATTTACACCTTCATTTGTTTAGCTTGTCTCCTCACTGGGATGCAAGACTCAAAGTGCAGAGATTTTTATCTCTATCTCCAGTGTTCATAACAGTGTGTTGGTTCTCAACAAATATTTGTTGGATAGATAAAGATTAAAGTACTTCACCTTAGTTTCTTCACTATTGAAATGAAAGAACATCTGTGAAATACAAATGTCAGTGGGAAACCCAGAATTCTGCCAGCTTAGCTCCAGAGCTCTAATTACTGAAAAACGTTGCTCTAGCACATGGCATCGACCAGGCCCTTTTGAGGAGGTAAAGATGAGCCAGACCAACTCCCACCCACACAGATAGGATGAGAGATACAGAGGTACTGATGCAATGCCACAGGAGTTCAGAGAGAACATCCAACTTGGAGGAGGGGCCTCTTGTGTCCCTTCCCCCTTCCTGCCCATACTATTGCCCTTACCCTTTGTACCAGAGCAGGGCCATAGACTCTGCCATCATACTTGTATACTGTGCCCCATTCTTGCTTATCCTATGACCTACTCATGTACATGCTAAAGTCACCTGATTGGATTTATTTCTCTACTGCACTCTAGATTTTACCAAGAATATCTGGAAATGAAGCACTTTTGGGGGAAGAGATATTGGGGGTTGAACCCATGGGCACTTAACCACTGAGTCACATCCCCAGCCCATATATATATATATATATATATATATATATATATATATATATATATATATATATATATATATATATATATATATACATATATATATTTAGAGAAAGGGTCTCACTGAGATGCTTGATGCCTCGTTAAGTTGCTGAGGCTGGCTTTGAACTCAGGATCCTCCTGCATCAGCCTTCCTAGCCTCTGGTATTACAGGCATGTGACACTGAACCCATCTGGAAATGAAGCTTCTTAAACCAGTGGGCATGTTCAAGCCCAGAGAACTTTTAAAAATCCTCTTGTATTGGCTCTCAGAAGGTAGCTGCTACTATGTCCAGAGCAAGATCAGAAATCTGCCACATCCTCACTTCCTTGCTGCCAGGCCTGGCACTTTTTCAGAGACTGCTTAAGATCTCTGAGATCATCCTCCTAACAGGAGAGAGCAGGGTCAGGTGGAAAGACACTGGTTGACTTTTTAAAGATATTGTTTATCTGATTTTTTTTTTAAAGGAAGTACATACTGTACACATGAGAGACTCCAAGGCTGAGAGGTGCTGTGGCAGTTGAGATGCACCTGCAGACTCCTAACTGTTCCTTGCCTCTCTGCTTTGGGGAGGAATAGACCGCCATTGCACACGGCCCTCCACAACTAATAGAACAGAGCAGCCAGTCCACTCACTGCATCTTGAACCTCATCTCTTTCCCCTACCACCAAGGGATTCTTCCTCTCCTGCAAACCTGGTCTCTAGTGTCACCTCTGCCCTTCCCATCCTAGGTCTGGACCAGGTGCCCTTCCTTGGTCCTACTGTTCATTGTGCCTACCCTCAAGGCACAATGGTGTGTGGAATTCCCTAAATCAATTAGGCTGAATCATGGGAAGGAGGAATAGCATCTTATTCCCCACTCATCTGCTTTGCCACTTCTGATTTGTATGTCTTAAGGTCCAGCTTCTGCCCTGTGCCAGTCACTGGAGCACAGAATTGGACCAATCCCTCTCCATTTACAAACAGTTTCAAAACCGTTGGTGCACGAATAAATGTTCATCTCTGAAGCCTCTTTAGCACCAGATAAACTTCCCATTCAGCTCATGCTGCTCAGCCTAAAGGAGTCTCTGAATCAGCCCCCAGACTCTCTCAGTCTGGCTGAACTATTGTCAGAACTTCAAAAGCAAACTGCTAAGTGAGGTAGTGAAAAAACACAATGGAGAGCTGTGATGTTAGGCATAAATTTATAAATAGAAAATTTTCAGTAACCGGGCTTGGTGGCACACGCCTGTAGTCCCAGCTGCTCTGGGAGGCTGAGGCGCCAGGATCAATGTACCCCAGAAGCTTGAGAGCAGCCTGGGCAACATAGGAAAACCCTGTCTTGAAAAAAGGAAAGACATTTTGTGCATTTCCTGCAGTTAACTCTTAGTAAATTCATAGATTAAATAAAGGAGGTCCAGCTCTGCCCTTTCCTGCAAAACTGTCTTCCCATTATGGATTTTGGAGTGATGTTCCTGGAGGGCAGTTCGCAGGGCTAGTGCTGGGATTTGAGTAATCACAGGCCCGAGTGGGGTGTGTGGGAAGGTGTGCTGTTTGGTCTGGCTCACAGCCCCTGACACTCTGTAGCTATTTTAAACTGATCCCACAACCTTTCATTTGCTTCACTAATTTTTTCTAAAATAGAATTGTTTATTTGTGGGTCCAAATTGGAGAAGTTTCTTATTGGTCACCAAACTATTCTTTGGTGAGACTAGAGACAATGCATGCACTGGAGCCCAAAAGGGTTGGCTGGTAGTACGTGCTTAGTCAGTGTCAGCTATTATTACCAGCTGAGTTCCTTAAAAAGTGAAGAGGGTAATATACCTCTAAATTCCCCAGAACCAGTACAGGCCATTCAGTATATAGTTATTGATCTGAACATTCCTTTTGTCTTGACTTCTCATCTGCACTCCTATATTTCCACTGTTATTTCAGCATAAATGATTTGATGTTGTTTTAATGCTGGAGATCAAATCCAGGAACTCATGCATGCTATGCATGAACTCTGCCACAATGCTACATCCCCAGCCTTCCACATAAACATTTTGTTTGAGGTGATGGTACAAGAATCTCTATTTTCTGATTTCTGCTAATGGTTTCAATAGTAGAAGTCATTAATATACATATAATCATCATCATCATCATACCTTGAACCAGTCAGGATGTGCCAGGTGATTCTGTGGTAACAAATACCCTAAAATCTCTATAGGTTACAGCATTTCTCTTGTGTTACATGTCCACCACAAACTGGCTACTGCTCTGCTCTACATGGTTTTTCCTCTAGGATGATGAATTCCCTTCTGTTGTGGACATTGCTGATTGTTACAGCAGAGGGAAAAGGGATATGTTGAACCAGCTCTGGCTCCCAAAGCCACTGCCAGCAAGTGATACACATCACTTCAGGCACATTTCACTGGCTAAGGTAAGTCACATAATTGAGAGGCAGCAGAATTTGAAAACATAGTACTTATTCTGTGCCAAGTATTACTTTCAGTAATTTTTTAAATAATAACTCATAATGAGTTACTCACATACCATAAAACAGCCTTTTGAAGTGCACATTGATATAGTTCTCAGTATACACACAGAATTGCACAACCATCATCACTATCTAATTTCAAAAAATTCTCATCACTCCATAAAATGAACCTCATACCCATTGGCAGTCACCCTCAATTCCTCCTCCCAGCTACTGGTGACCACTAATCTATTTTCTGTTTCCATGGATTTTCCTATTCTGGACAATACATCTAAGTAGAATCATACAGTATGTGGTCTTCTGTCTATTCACCTAGCATGTTTTTGAGGCTCCTCTTTGTTGTGGCATGTATTAGTTCTTCATTACTTTTTTTTTTCTTT